AGAGATCCGCCTGCCTCTGCCTCCCGAATGCTGGGATTAAAGGCATGCGCCACCAACACCCGGCTGAAGGTTTTGATTTTTTAAAAATAAATGTATTGAGTTGTTGGTTTTCCTTTTCTCATTTTTAAGACAGGATGTATGTAGCCCTGGGTGACCTGGAACTCAGTATGTAGATTAAGCTGGCCTCAAAGTTCACAGAGATCCAACTGCCTGAGTCCTGAGTGCTAGAGCTAAAGATAAAGGCATTTGTATGTGTTTTGAACCAGGTGGTGGTGGCATCACTCAGGAGGCAGAGGTTGGTAGATCTCTGTGAGTTCAAGGACAGCCTGGTCTATAGAGTGAGTTCTAGGCCAGCCAGGGATACACAGAGAAACAGAGGGGGATAAATAGACAGGGACAACAAATAAATGTGTTTTAAGGGTTTGGTCTATGTATTTGTGTGGGCTTTTGTACCTGGTACCCATGGAGGTCAGAAGGTGTTGAATCCCCTGGGACTGGAGTTACATACAGATGGTTGAGTCACTACATGGGTGCTGGAAGAGTAACCAGCACAAGGAAATCATGCCCAAGCTAGTCCTTACCCACAAAAGGGCCAACACGGGAAAGAATGATATTTTTATGCTGAGGGCAGAGGCTCCCACTGCTGCTGGGATGCTCTGGTTGGATAGATAGAGCTGAGCAGATTCATTGGAGCCCAATAACTGGAGGGTGCACTCAGAATCCAGAAGCTCCCTTGTCATCTTCAGCTTCTTTTTTTTTCCGAGACAGGGTTTCTCTGTATTGTTTTGGAGGCTGTCCTGGAACTTGCTGGCCTCGAACTGACAGAGATCTGCATGCCTCTGCCTCCTGAGTGCTGAGATTAAAGGCATGCGCCACCAACGCCCGGCCATCTTCAGCTTCTTTCTCACCATGAAGAGCTTGTCTCAGCTGCTGCAGAGTGACTTCGGCCAGATCTTCAGGCAAGACGACCCAACTAATCACAGACAAGCAAAAGCAGGCCTGTCCATCATTGTAAGGTCCTAGCACAAAGCACACAGAAACCAGGCCCTACGTCACTTCACTTTATTTTGGTCTCAAACTCTCAGAAGTTCAGGATCACCTGCTGACAAACATGTTGTCATAGCTGTAGACCATGTGCCACAGGCAGTGGGCAGTATGGTGGGTGCACCCTAAGTAAAAAGTCCTACTAGAGCTGGGGACAGAGTATAGAATAGACAGCTCAGTACCATTCTTCAATTCTGAAATGGCACAGAGCTGCCAGTTCTGTAGGCACCCCTGGCTACGCAGCAGGAGGGCAATGGTCTGCCCCATCTTCCTATGGGGCAGCTATGTCCCAAGTGTATAATGGGCAAGAGGCTGCATTATAAAGGGTATGGGGCAGCCTGGACTAAGTATATTGCCTCTCATCTCTAGTCCCATGGGGCCTGGGCACCTCCACTTCTTTGTGCTGTGTGTAGGGTTCCCATTGGCAGCGTCCTGGGCCCCCTCCCCCCACATGGGAACAAGCTTTGGTTCAGATGCACTTTAATCAGCAGGCTGTCCCTCTCTAGCCAGGTTGCCATGGATCCTGGCTAGATGCCCCACATGCTCTGCTGACAATTTTCTAGTCACAGGAGCCGTCCTTCCAGCCGTCACGCCATCGCTCATCCACTCTTGAGCAGTCAAAATCAGGCTTGCCCAGCTTCCGATTCACCTCATTGTGCAGGCGGCACAGCCACTGGCTGAAGGAGACCCGAGTGCTTGTGTCTGGCTGGTTCCTGCCTATCCTTTGTGACAGAAGCACAGGAAGAACATAAGATGTTGACTCCTCTGTCTCTGTCCTTGCCAGGGCCTGGGGACAGGGAGCTGGGCACTGCTATGAATTACACTTGGGGATGCCTTTATGCTCCAAGGGGAGGCGAAAGCCAAGAGCAGGGCTGACTCTGGAGTTTCCTGAACTTGGGCAACTCCCAGGGCTGCTCACTTGCTCACCTGACTTGGCAAGAGCCCAGAATAAGATCACACTAAAGCAGGCAACTTTACAACCTTGTAACAATCAGGGCTCACCCCCTGGTCTCTAGCCCCAGGCACAGTCTAGACAGGTGGGGCCTGGCACAGTGTTCCTTAGCACCAGGGGCCCAGCTCAGCAAGAGATCCCCCTCATTTCTAACTCTCCTGGCTTCAAACAGCAAGGGCCTAGCAGGCCCCACCTAGAAATACCTAGAAAGAACAGGCTAAGCCAACGAGTGACAGAAGTTTACTTCATTCCCATTTTTAAAGTCAGTAACAACACGGAGAGACTAGGGAAGCTAGGCAACAGGGAACCTTAGCTAATCTGCCCATGAGGAATAAAGGAAAGGGAAGCCCTTCCTAAAACCCCTAAAGCTAACGAGTCACAGAACTGGGCTCTGAGGAAGGAGAAGGCTCCCAGGACTCGACATTCCTTTGAGTGGTCCCTCACCTAGCAACCTGTCACCTCTACATCCATTTTTCCAGTCCCCCCTCTATGCGGTCAGCCAGGCCTCCTTTAGGGCCCTACTAGCAGAGGTACAGCACACTTACCTCTTCCTTATGTCTTCCGCACACTCCTCGCAGGGGTAAAACTTGGAAAATATATGTATGAACTGGGCCATATCTTGCTGCTGTTCTGGGGTGGGCATGTCCGGGTAATAGGCGGCCAGCGTGTGGAGGAAAGCCCAGGTGTGGCGACCCAATTCCTCCCGATCCAGCGGACAATCCTCCCTAAACTTGATGTCCCGCTGCAGAAGTAGGCCGACTAAGGGTCAGTTCATTCTTTCCCAACCAGAAGCCCACAAAAGTCAAACCCAGTGGCAGATTGCTTGTGTTGCACGCCAGAGGCCTTGGGTTCGGATTCCCAGAATCAAAAAAATAAAGGAAACAAGAATGCCCCCCTTTACAGTTGGCAGCCTACTAAACCGATCGGCCGGCCAGTGGCTGGAAGCTCAAAGTTCGAGCCTAACGGTGTGTGTGTGTGAGGGGGTGGACATGTTTAGGCACAGCCAACCCTGAGGAAACCGGTGTGGGGTGGGGGGCCGGGACCGGGCGGTGAGGCGGGGCATCTGCACCTTCTGCTGGGTCCGCATCCACGACTTGAAGTCCACGCAGGCCCGGCACGGCCGCTTCCCGTGCTCCAAACCTTGCGGCGCCGGGGCCGAGGCAGAGGCGGCGGCGTCCCTATGCCCCGTGCGGCGGCCCCGCGCGTCTGTCACCAAGTCGTCTGTCATCTCAGAGCGCGAGCCGCCGGGCAGGAAGGAGAAGAGACTGCTGCGAGAGGAGCCCGCGGGCTCGCTGGGCGCCGCCATGTTGACGGCGTACGGACGGCGGGGCCAAGAGGGCCTCCAGAAGGCCGGCCAGGCAAGCGCGCACGCCACCGCCAGCGCGCGGCGGCCGGAGCGGGAAAGGCGGCCAGGGGCTGGGCTCACGCTGGGGCAGGAGGCGGAGCCTGGCGGCGGGGCGGGGCTGGGGGTGGAGGCGGCGGCCCGGGTCGCGGCGGAGTGGGAGGCCTCGGCGCGGGAGGAGGCGGAGCGGGAGGCCCGGGCCGAGGCGGCATATAGGGATGCGGCTCGGGCTCTGCTGCTCCTCTTGCGCCTGGTTGCCCGCCGCGGGCCGGGCGTGCGTGGTCCATGGTGGAGCTCGGGTTTCCCCCAGAAGCGTAGTGTGTTGTGGAAGATGCGCTGCGGCCCCGCTGAGAACTCGGGCTGAGACGAGGTCCGAGATGCTTCTCGCGACGTCCCCATCGCTCGGCTCAGACCCTTACAAGCGGCCAGGTTTCAGGCCTTTCTGCCCTACAACGCGCCCACCTACACGCTTCTGGGTGCTGGGCAACGGGCGGCGGGGCGTGGCCTCACAGAGACCAGGCAGCGCCAGTGGCCAGGGTCGGCTTTTGCTATAGTAACTGGGGCCCAGCAACCGGGAGAGGCCCGGGACGCGTCCCCGTCCTGTAATATGGGAGAGAATAAAGATTATTATGCCTATTTCAGCCTCAGGAATTCTTTTTTTTTTTTTTTTTTTTTTTTTTTTGGTTTTTCGAGACAGGGTTTCTCTGTGGCTTTGGAGGCTGTCCTGGAACTCACTTGGTAGTCCAGGCTGGTCTCGAACTCACAGAGATCCGCCTGCCTCTGCCTCCCGAGTGCTGGGATTAAAGGCGTGCGCCACCAACGCCCGGCCAGCCTCAGGAATTCTTTTCTTTCTTTCTTTCTTTCTTTCTTTTTTTGGAGACAAAATCTCATGTAACTTGGGCTAACTTGGAATTCTGTTTATGTAGCTGCCGCCTTCTCAAGTGCATGACTTAAAAGCCTGGGTCATCACAGGAAGAATTTCTTTGCCTGCTTCCATGTGTTCATTCATTCATTCTGCAAATATTTGTACAGTGGTACTCTTGCTCCAAGCGCTATTTCCGGCACTGAGTCGAACAAGGAACAAGCTTCTGTCCTGGCCTCTTTAGCCTTTGACCAGTAATGAAAATGGGGAAAACCCAGTAACAGAAATAAATTTTATTTACAAACTGATGAAAGTTGTGTGTAGGGTGTGGAAATATAGGTCTCCTAAATCGGAGACCCTTAAGCACAGGCCCCATAGAATGAAGAATCAGCTCAGGCTATCTGGATCCAGAGTTGGGCAATGGCCCACCAACCATGCTAGAAATTGGGATTTGTTCTAAAAGCAATGGGAGACAGACGTTAGGCAATTTAGGACAAAAATGTCTTGGCCTGATCTACTTTGCAAGATTTCTTCTATTCCGTAAGAGTGATTTTTTTTTGTTTTGTTTTTTTGTTTTTCAAGACAGGGTTTCTCTGTATTGTTTTGGAGGCCGTCCTGGAACTCGCTCTGTAGACCAGGCTGGCCTCGAACTCACAGAGATCCACCTGCCTCTGCCTCCCGAGTGCTGGGATTAAAGGCATGTGCCACCATGCCCAGTTTTGCCCAGCTTTTTTATTAACTCTTATTTTATGTGCACTGGTGTTTTGCCTGCATGTATGTCTGTGTGATGTCAGATCCCTTGGAACTGGAGTTACAGTTGTGAGTTGCCATGTGGGTGCTGGGAATTGAACCTGGGTCCTCTGGAAGAGCAGCCTGGTGGCTCTAGAGGATAAGTGGAGGTAGCGACAGGCAGAGACTGCGAGGGGCTCACAATTCCTCTAGGTCCCTAGTGGTAGGTACTCAACCCTTTCCAGCTGCTCTCCCATCGTCTCTGAAATGGCCAGTACGTAAGAACCAGTTGCTTAAGGAGATGTCAAGATTTGGCCAAGGAAGGAGGTAGGTTTCATGGCTTAGTTACACAGGTCTGAGCCATATCCCAAGTTTAAAGTCAGCCTTTGCAAGTTAGCAAAACCCTGTCTCAAAGCTCCCTAACTCCCCCCCCCAAAAAAAAAACCTTGACTAAAAGGACCCAGGTGTGGAATACTTGATTCAGATAACAGCAGCAGACAGCCCCACAGGCAAATTAAAAAAATCAAGCTGCTAGGCACACCCTGGGAGGAGGTTACAGCAGGGTGGGGGAAGAGGCAAAGGGAGCAGGTGAGGTTGAGGCAGCACTTTATGGAGGAGCTGCCTACCTCCTTTGCTCCCTTGACTAGGGGAGAAAAGGAGCCCCAGGTGGGAGTTCCAGCCCCTCAGAGCTCTGCTTCAGTACAAAGGACTTCATTCATTTTTCTCCTCCTACCTGCCCTGGCTTGCCCCTCCCCTTAGCACAGCCCTGCTGTGATGAATCCTCTTAGATTTTGTGCTTGAAGAATAACCAGGAAACTGAAAAGTTTCCAGGTGTGTATGCTCTGCAGGGACACGGTTTAGGGCAGCGTTGGGAAATTCCTTTTCACTTCTTCCGGCTTCTCAGAGCCCCTTCAAGCACCTTGCAGGAGGCCACAATCATGACCAGTCCAAGACACCCAGTATCAGCACATGCTGTAGCCCTGGTGCAGATGGAGCGACTTCAGGTAGGACCGTACAGCCCCATCCTCCGCTACAAAGAGGCAGAAGGGTAGCTGGCAAAGTCTTAAGCGAGACGGAAACTCAACCTTTCCTCACAGACATTTGCCTTCTCTGTGCGCTGGTCAGACAACAGTGATTCATCTGTTCGCAGGAGCTGGGATGAGTTTAGGCAGCTCCAGGTAAATAACACAGAACTACTTCAACAGGGTGGCTCGTCCTCAGATCCATGACCTCCCTTCCTGCCTGTAGGAGCTCTGTCAGGGACTCTTCCCTCCCCCTGGGGTTCTCTCTACTTCCAGGGACTGACACCCCTTTCTTCCCCTCAGAAGATCCTTAAGGAAACCTTCCCAGTGGAGGCGGGCCTGCTCCGGAGATCTGAAAGAGTTCTTCCCAAGCTTCCTGGTCAGGCCTGCAGGGGTCAGAGGGGTGGTCACGGGGGTGGTCAGGCTAACAAGTGTGGGTGAGCAGTCCCAGTGTGTTCTTGTGACACCCGGGCAGATGTTCCACTGCTGACACGTCGGGGACACACTGGCCGAGGCCTGGTACGTCTGCGGCTGCTGGACACCTATGTGCAGGCACTGCTGGCAACCTCAGAGCATGTATTGAGGAGCTCGGCACTCAGTGACTTCTTTGCACCAAAACCTGTGGATCTGAAGCCCATGCTGCCTCCTGGCAGGTGACTCATGTCCACCCCACTCCCAGCCCAGGCACTTGTCACTTGTTGGAAGGGGAGATGAGAAGGCTGGGCTGGCCTATGTACAGTTGGGAAAGGGGTATTCCCATCCTTTCTGCTCATTTCTCACATGTGTTGGCTGCCCTTCCTCAGCTTGGTGATCTTGCCCACACCAGAGGAGCCCTTATCCCAACCTGCAAGCAGCCTTGCCATTCATAACCTGGAGGCTCAGAGCATGCGTTGCCTACAGCCTTTCTTCACCCATGACACAAGAGACAGGCCTTTCCACACACAGGCTCAAGAAACTCTGGACGTATTACTACGACATCCTTCAGGTAGGACCCTGGGGACAACTGGGTAGTGGAGGCGTACACCTTTAACCCCAGCACTAGAAAGGCAGGGGCAGGAGGATCTCTGAGTGCCAGACCAGCCTGGTCTACAAAGCAAGTTCAAAAAATCAAGACTTGCTCTCTGATCAAGATGGGAGCAGGCCTTGGCATCTAAGCCCTTTCCTGGCCTCTTCAACAGGCTGGTGGCTGGTGGAGAACAAGGATCAGCAGACAGCCTGGTTCCCAGCTCCCTACTTGGAGGAAGTAGCCCAGGGCCAGGGCCAGGAGTCAGGCTTGGCTTTGCAAGGCAGGGGTATGAATTCATCCCTACCATAAGCTCACCGCTATGAATGCACCTTGTGGCAAGGCTGAGACCAAGCCCAGGAGGGAGGTGATGGTGGGGCACCAGGCATGTGGGTGATGTTTACAGCCAAAAGAAAGCTTGCGTGGGTTTCGGAGCAGTCCAGGGTATCTCTGGCCTTGCAATTCTACAGTGATTCCCAAATACCTACCCTAGGGATGCAGTTCTGTGCTACCCAGGCCTATGAGGGCAGTCGTACTGATGAGCTATCAGTGCCTGCAGGGGCACGTGTGTATGTGCTGGAAACCTCAGACCGTGGCTGGTGGCTGTGCAGGTACCGTGTGTGTGTGTGTGTGTGTGTGTGTGTGTGTGTGTGTGTGTGTGTGTGGTGTGTGCATGTGCACACGCACGTGTGTGTGGTGAAGTGGTGGCAGGTGCTGCCTGGCAGGAGGGCCACATAACATCATAAATCCTTAACCAAGCCCTGCCTTTCTTACAGGTACAATGGACTGGTAGGCCTGTTTCCTGCAGTGCTGCTGCAACCTGAAGGGCTGGGCTCCCTCCTGAGCAGGCCAGGGCTCCCAGGTAGTGGGAGAGAAGATACGGTGACCAAGGACAGGATTGTTCCCCCTGTAGTACCAACTCGCCCCTGTATGAGTGCCATCCAGAGTCGATGCTGCTCCATCACCCGCAGGGCCCTGGGACAGGACCAAAGGACCCAGGGTCCCTTTTGAGGATTTGTGTAACCCTGCAGAGAGGTTGTACTGTCAACCCCAAACACAGGCAAAGCTGGGATCCAGACCTGTCAAGGGAACAGGACAGGGTGGGGCTCAATGGCTGGTAGGGCCAAAGAGCAACAGCTTCCCATTTCCTCTAAATAAAGCTGGAATGACTTCACCCAATGTCGCTGTGCCCTGAGGCACAGAGGTGGACTTGAATTTGTACAGTTGAAATCCCAGTGGGCCAAATGTGGCCCAAGAATTGGGAGAGATTAGTCAGATTTACATGAGAAGCTGAGGTAGAAAAGTGCAACTTTTATGTGTCTCATAGGGCCGTGGGAGCAGAGGGGAGTGGAGACAGCTTCATGTTGTGCCACAGGAAGTCCAAGAAGGTGGCTGCTTGTAGTGTCCGGCTAAGTCGCTGAAAGTGCCGCTCTGGAGGAAGACAGAGAAGTTAGGGCTGTGGGGAGAGGGACATGTCTGTGAACCCACCAGGGGCTTCCCTGAACCCAGGCCATGTCACATACCAGTATAGGGCAGCAGGGCCTCCAGTGTACCCCGAACACCCTCATAGGCCAGTAGTTCCTCCGGGGCCTCATGTCGCAGCAGCACACTTAGCACAGCCTGGGCTTCATGGCAATGTCTTGAGTTGGTATTCCACGTGACACAGAAGCGTAGCAGGGCCTCTGTAGGTATGGAGATGGTCACCCTGCTTGTTGGGCCATTCCACCGTGTTCTGCCCACCAGGCCATCCCCCTCCCCAGACTGGTCCCAGCCTGACCACAACCTTTCTGGTCTCGTCTCAGTCGGAGCACAGTGTCTTCCAGCTTCTCACAGGCATCAGGATCCCTCCGGATGGCTGTGAGAGAAGTCAGCTTAAAGAAAGGGTTTCTCGGTCCCTGGAGCCTCCCCCAAATCCAGCCTGGCCCTGGGGCAGGTACTGACCCTGGATGACAGTCAGCACAGTGTGGGGACGATCCAGAGAGATGGCAAGTCCGAGTGCCCGGAGATAGCGCTTCTCATGGAGCAGGTTGTCCAGTTCTTGCTGCCTGGTGGGACAGATTGAAACATTGTCAATCAGAGACCCTGGCTGGGCCAAACACACAGGTGTGAGCCCTACCCCAGTCTGTTTCCTATGCCTCACAGCAGGGAACATTAGGGGATCCAGGAGGTGCTAATGCTGGAGACTGCAAGGGTGCTGTTGGGCATGCAGAGGTTTGCTGAGGACATGCGGCGGGTTCTACTGAGCCCAGACTTACTTGATCACCTGCTCTTCCCGTTTGGCCTGCTCTTCTGCCTGCTCAGCCTCTGTCACATCCTGGGATCAAATTAGGATCAGACAAGCCCCCAGTGCTGTCCCTTGCCCTGCCTCATCCCACCCCTTAGGGTTCACAACCTTCCAGAGAATGATTCGGGAGTCACTGCCACCGGTGATGGCATGGTCATCCAGTCGGCTACAGTGTAGCCCCCAGACCTTGTCCTCATGAGCATCCAGTGTCCGCACACACTCATTGCTTTTAATGGTCCATAGCTTCAGGAGCCCATCAGAACCACTGAGGTTGAGAGTGGAAGGACTCAGTATAGGGCCACGACCCCCACTACGCACCCCCAGCCCTCTCCTAGCCCATTCACCTAGACAGCAGCTGTGAGCCACGGCTCACAAAGGCCACCTTCAGCACAGAAGCATCATGTCCCTCAAACGTCTGCAGGGGAGAGATAGAGGGACACAAGTCTTATGGTATGAAGTGGTCCCGGTGCGGGGAATGGGACTAGGGGAAATACTTACTTACCTTGAGACAACTGAAGTCCTGCAGCGCCCAGAGCTTGATGGTGCCATCTGCAGAGGCTGTGGCCAGCACCTGGTCTGTGGGCGAGAACTGGACATTCCAGAGGCCACGCCGGTGGCCTGAAAAAACACCCAACAGTTGGCACTGAGGCAAGGCCCAAAGTTTAGCTGTGCGGTCCTGTGAGCCCGTGGCTAACAGCTTGTCATTGGGGGAGACAGCCAAACTGTTGATGTCCTGGTGATGAGAGTAGGTGACAAAACTTAGATCCCTATTACATGCTAGAACTCAGTCATACCACATCCCAGGGGTCACGCATGGGTACTTTGTCATGGCAGCGCTGCGTAGTCTGGGCCTGTAGAAGCACGGGGTCACTGTCCACAGCTGTGTTCTTGGACAACAGGGCTTCAGGGAGGGGCCATAACTTTACAGTGCAGTCCTGACTGCCTGTCACCAGGAAAGATTCTTTTAGCCTGTAGTCAACAAGAAAAGGGAGACACTGCTCAGGCCCAAGGACACTGCAGTGTACCAAGCTCTGGTCTTTTGCACCATGATTAGAACCATGAGATCATCTCAGGATGTAGATTGGCCTACATTGTCCCCAAATGCCTCTGCCTGCACCATCTACCCTCAGAGCCGCCACACCTAGCAACTGGTCCCAACCACAGGGTCAAGCTCTTAATGAAGGGTCACCTTCTCCAGCAGGACCTTGTTCAGTGAGTGACATTCTCTTTATCTTAAGTCCTTCCTATTTTGTCTATCTGCCATGGCACCCAAGTCTTTCTGGGCTGCTTCTCTGTCCCACATCCTAGTTAAAGCCTCACAGTGTGGCCAAGCCAGCATACTCATTCTCCACCCTGTGCTAGAAACCAATGACTTGGGCCTCCACCTCTTTGGATACCCCTGGGTCCAGTCCTGATCCACTACCTAGAACAGCAGATGGTGCCCACGCTGTGTGTGTGTCCAGAGCCCTGAGCTACACAGGTCACCTGGCCAGCCTTGTTCATCCTCCAGATGCGTATGCTCTGATCCTGCAGATAGTAGGGGTTCAAGAGAGATGGGGGGGTCATGGTTTTGTTTTCACTTGGGAGGCCTGTGCCTTCATATCCTGTATGGGGTCTCACCTTGGCACAGCTGACAAAGAGCCAACCCTTCCGGAACACATCCAGGGCCAGGACAATGTCTGGGAGGAAAGGGAAGAGTGGTCAGAGATCAAGTATACAAAAGAGGCAGAGAAGGGAAGCTGTGAAACCGGGCTAAGGTCCCAGGGATGTCAGAGGGCCCGACCTACCTGTGTGACCGTGGAGGATTTGACAGGCCAAAGTCTGCAGCTCAAACACTTTCAGGCAAGGGCTGTTAGAAGCCACAACAATGTGGGAGTCATTGGGCCCAAGGAACCGAACATCCAACACCTCCTCGCTATAGCCAGCAAACTGTGGGAGGCAGGAAGGTCATGAGTGAGGGACCCTATGGAAGGAAGCCTAATGCCCAAGCCCTGCACTGGGCAGAACAAATGCTTACCTGCTTCTGCAGCTGTAAGGAGCGTGCCTCATAGAGTAGCAGGTTGTGATCAGTGGTGACAGTGAGAAGCAGGCCGGCAGTGCGGGCCAGGGTACAGTGGGTCAGTTCCTGCCGCAGGCCTGGCATTTGTGGCTGGGTGTATACACACTGCCCAGAAGCTGCCTCCCACACACGGAGGATCCCTACACGAGGACAGAGGCTGTTGGAGGATGGGGGTCCACAGGCTTCACCCCTCCCCCATTTAGATGTGGCCAGCCTCCCCACACCTTGGTCACCAGCTGTTAAGAAATGTAGGCCCGAGTTCTTCACAGCCAGTGCAGGTGCTGGCTCCTCAGGCAACAGCACAGCAGCTTCTATGCTCTGTGGATGAGAAGGGTCAGAGCCTACACAGCCATGCCTCCCATCCCTGCCCCATTCACTGGCCCTGGCCTACAGGCCCATACCTCAAACACTGGCACTGTCCTTGTGGCCTGGTAACTCTGAAGGTCCCAGACTATGCAGATCTTATCACGGCCAGAACTGAGGAGAAACAGATCCCTCAGTTCCAGTTTCAGCCTTGGCCTCCCCTTCTACCCAAGCCCTGTGTGCCAGCCACTGACCTGAGCATGGTATGGCCATCCTCACTAAAGGACAGGGAAGTGACAGCACTGTAGTGTGCCGTCAGTACAGCCAGGCACGAGCGGTCCTGCAGTGACCACATGCGGACAGAGGTGTCCACGGCTGAGGAGAAGAGCAGCAGGCGAGAGGGGTCTGGATGGAAGGCCACCAAACTGAAGAAAGGTAGAGACAGATTAGCTGTACTTCCAAGGGTGGTAAATCTACCCACCCTTCCTCCATCACCCCACTCACTGAACAACACCGGGTGAGCCTCGAAGGTGGTGTGTCCCGTAATGTTGCACGATATCCCAGACACGTATAGCCCCATCGCAGCCGCCTGTGGGGACGAGTTGGAGGTTAGGGTGAGCCTTGCGCTTTGTGCCTCCAGCGTACCCACCTACCTGCAGTCCTACCTGTGGCTAACAGTGTCGAGGTGGCATCAAAAGCCATGGAAGCCACGGGCGCTGTGTGTATCGCCTTCCACAGGCGAGTGACGGTGCCTTCCCGCCAGGCCCATTGAGCCAGCAGCAGTGCCCGGCTGGCTGTTACCAGTACCTGGGGGAAGGAGTGGGATAGTATAGTGTAAGACATGTTTGCCAGTTCAGTGCGGAAGGGAGGCACCAGGGCTAACCCACCACCTTTACCCATCATACTTCATTATCAGGACTGAGGTCGAAGGCAGTAATGTCCTCTTGGTCCTCCTAAGGGCAGAGTGGCAAAACAGAGCACTATAAGGATAGGCTACCCTCTCCTGAAGCCCCTCACATCTGCCCAGCCTGTCCTCACCTGCTCCAGGCTCCGAAGCAAAGCCCCTGAGGCAACATCTAGGATGTTGACTTTGGTACCACAGACACAAAAGAGGTGGTGGCCAGTCTGGTCCAGCTATGTATGGAGAAAGGAGTTTCAGTGAAGAACCACTCAGTACTGCCTACCCCTTTCCCCACTAATTGCCTCTGGGGATAGTTACCTGTGCTTTCCCACCCTTGTAGAAAGGTTCAATCTTTCGCTCAACAGCATAGCTGGAAAGAGAATTAGATACTGAGAGATCGCCTAACTCCCTTGCCCCATTGCCCAGCTCTGCTCTGGATGCTCTCCCAGAGATAAGCCAAATCCTTGACCTTGCAGAGTGCCTAGACAGCAGCAGGAACCCAAGGCTCAATGGGTGGATGCTACTATCTTCACATTACAGAAAGGCTGAGACTCACGCTGGGCGGTGGTGGCACACGCCTTTAGTCCCAGGACTTAGGAGGCAGAGGCAGATCTCTGTGAGTTCAAGACCAG